ACTAGTAATTATGAAAATTCAAATCAAAATAAAGACTTCATTTTACACTCATCAGATTGGCAAATATTAAAAAGCCTAATAACATCGTGTTGGTGAAGATATGGGGAAATGAGAAGTATGAGTGGCTGGTGGGAGCATAAATCGGTAGAAGCCTAAAATCCTTTATTTGCAATTCCAAAATAGAAAAAAACTCTGAAAGCTAAGTTTGCTTCCCTAAATTTGGTTTAAACTCCCTTTATTTATATTTATTTATTTACTTAGTTTTGAGACAGAGTCTTACTCTGTCACCCAGGCTGGAGTGCAGTGGCAAGATCTCGGCTCGCTGTATTCTCTGCCTCTCGGGTTCAATTCTCCTGCCTCAGCTTCCTGGTGTCCTCCAGCACGCCCAGCTAATTTTTGTATTTTTAGTAGAGAAGGGTTTTTCTCCATGCTGTCCAGGCTGGTCTCGAACTCCTGACCTCGAGATCCGCCCGCCTCCGCCTCCCAAAGTGCTGGGATAACAGGCGGAAGCCAGCGCGCCCGGCCTGGTTTAAACTCACTTTGTGATAAAACCTGATATGAAGCAATTTGAAGCTACCTCTAATCTTAATTATAACATTAATTTAATATATTGATGGCCGCGGCTGGTCTTCGGCAGCGCGGGTGCGCGGGCGTCGGTGGGTCCTCTATGCCCGTGTCCCCGAGGCAGCCGATTGCGCCGCCCTCACCCTCGCGTGGCCGGGCAGGACTTGCCCCCAGGCCCCAGCCTCCGGGATACCGGACTCTTGGCCCCGCGTTGCCGCTCTCGCCAGCTGCTGCTGCTGGGAGGCCACGGGGAGGAGGCGGAGCTGGGGCCGCGCTTCGGGGGCCCAGCGCGGGAAGGGAAAGCAGCGCCCGCTGGGTCGACGGTGCGGGGTTCCTGAGCCTCGGGAGGAGGCTCTAGGCAGGGCCGCCAGGCGCCGAGTCTCCCGGGTCTGCGGCGCACCCGGGTGACGGGTGACGGCGGGCCTGACACCCCAGACGGCGGGGCCTGGACCCAGGATCCGCCCCCGGAGGCGGCCCGCCCCGGGCCATGCCGCGAGCCGAGCGCTGGGGAGCTCCGGGCAGTCCCTGAGCGCCGGGGCCGCGGGTGTAGCTCGCAGAGACGTCGCCCCTGTCCCGGACAGGGCCCGGGCCCGGCGAGGACCTGGAGCCCTCGCCCCAGACTGCGAGGGTGCGGCCCTGGGTTCATGCTCCACGGAGCCTGCGGGAGCCGAGAGCGGTCAGCAACCTCACTCTCTCGGGAGTGGCTGCAGCCGCCCAAATCTGGGCTGTGGACCTAGGCCTCTGCATTTTTCGGAACCCAGGAAGGTGCCCCGCTTGTCCTTGCAGGTGTCTGCTTCCACTGCCTGGCCTCTGCCCGCTCCCTGATCTCGGATTGGGTTTGGGGCCGAGCCTGGGCCCTGTCACAGCCTAGCCGGGTGTGCGCACGCTGGGGGCGGTGCTGTCACGCCACTGGTTTCAGATCAGCTTTAGAGAATTTGGCAATAGCTGGTAAAAGCCAAAGATGTGCATGCACTGTGACCTAGCAACCATATGCATAGGAAAACAGGTGGGCGCGGGGGCTCATGCGTGTAACCCCAGCACTTCGGGAGGCTGAGGCGGGTGGATCGTTTGAGACCAGCCTGGGCAACATGGCAAGACACCCTGTCTCTATAAAAAAAAAAAAAAAAATTCAGCCAGGTGTGGTGGCACCGGCGTGTAGTCTCAGCTATTTGGGAGGCTTAGGTGGGAGGATTGCTTGAACCTGGGAGGTTGAGGCTTCAGTGAGCTGTGATTATGCCACTGCACTCCAGCCTGGGTGACAGAGCAATACTCTGTCTCAAGAGAATAACACACCCACACATCGGTACAAGAATTTTCACTGCAGTGCTGTGTGTAACAATAAAAATGGAAACGATCAGCAGTCCATTAGTAAGGGAACAAATAAACAGGTTTATTCATTGGGAAACTATAGAGCATTTAAAATTAATGAACAAGATCTATAATGTACCAACACGGGTAAATCTAAAAAATGAGTGAAAAAGCAAATCTGAAAGAGATTTACACAGTATGATAGTACATATGTACATATATTTTTAATATATGTGTTATATGTATGTATGTAATCCCAGCATTTTTGGAAGCTGAGGCATATGGATCTCTTGAGCCCAGGAGTTTGAGACCAGCCTGGCCAACATGGTGAAACCACCTCTCTTCTAAAAAAGCAAAAATTAGCCAGTAGTGCTGGCTCATGCCTGTAATTTCAGCTACTTGGGAGGCTGAGGCAGGAGGATCGCTTCCTTGGCCCCCATATTTTATATATGTATGAAATATACATATCATCGATATGGTATTGTATATATCGCTATATGGCTATGTAGTAAATGTGTATGTATGTATGTGTATATATATCGTCAAGAAGGCTCTACACTAACTTGAGACAGTGGTTACCTATACAAGGGAAAATGGGGGGACTTTAGATTTATCAGAGTTTGGGGTTTTTTGTTTTGTTTTTCAGAAAAAGTGAACTAGCAAGCAAATGTGCTGGGATTACAGGCATGAGCCACTGTGCCTGACCTGGTTTGTTATTAAAGGTAGTTTGGCTCTCAGTGCACCCCTTTCTCCCATGATGCCTCATGTTATTATGTAACATGAGGCCCTCCCCAGAGGCAGAGCAGATGCAGCCCCTTGACCTAGGACTTCCCAGCCTCCAGAACTGTAAGAAATAAATTCTTTTCTTCATAATGTACCCAGTCTCAGGTATTCAGTTATAGCAATAGAAAACAAATGAAGACACTGTTTTCCACAGTGGCTGGACCATTTTACGTTCCCTCTAACTGCACAAGGGTTTCAATTTCTTCACATTCTTGTCCACGCTTGTTATTCTGTTTTTGTTTTACAGTAGCCATTCTAATGGGTGTGAGGTAATATCTCATTGTGTGGCTTGCAAAACAAAGGCATTACTTTTATTAGAAACAAAGAATGTTCCTCAAGATGGTGGCAACATGATATAGAAATATATTTCATTCAGTGTGTTTCTCCCTTTAATTACATTCCTGCAGGAGGTGGAATACCTCCTTGGCTATGAGGAGCAGAAGTATTTGATGGATTGTGTAAGCTGGTCTCCTGGTACTTGTACACACACCAAGCATTTCCTCTCCAAAGTATCATATGCAGAAAGACAAAGATCACAGACACATTTAGGAATCCGATGCTAGTCACGTGGGATTCCTAATAACACATCATCATGATTTCTTACAAGCAGAAGTTCCTGAACAATAATGCGACCAGTAGCTATTTTAATATCTGCAGGAGCTTTTGCCCAGGTTGAAGTGCTCGCCAGTTGCAAATGATGGCAACAAGAGTAATGACAAAGCCACTCATGCGAAGTTTATGACTATCCTGATATAGGTTCCTGTAACCAACAGAAAGCAGGACAGCGATGCAGTGCAGGCAAACAGAGACTGCAAATGTCACAGAATTGTGCAGAAGAGTCATATCCTAGGAGGACTTAACATTCCAGTTTACATCATACACATTAAAACCTGTGAGAGAATGAAATGATGCCTGGTTTAACCTGAACGGGTAATCAAAAGTAGCTATAATAGTTTCATCAGTTACTGTAGGAGGACAATTCATATGAATTTCTGTTTGCCCTTAAAATCTCCACTGGTGGCAAAAGCGAAGATGGAAGCCGTCTACTCCATGCCCTTGAGGAAGCTGAGTGGCTCCCTGAGTGGTTGAGGTGGATCCAGAAGGTGACATCCTCTAAAGGAAGGAAGGAGAGACAGGATGGTGGGGGCCTCTCTGCCGTTTTGATGTGTTTCCCTAGCGATTAGCAATGTGGAACATCTTCCAATGTGTTTTTTGGCCACTTATTTTCTTTGGAGAAATGTCTATTCAAGTCCTTTGCCCACTTTTGAATCAGGTTGATTTTTGAGGTCTAGTTGTAGTTCTTTATACACTGTGGATATTGCTTCCTTATCAGATATATATTTTCTGAAAATATTTTCTCACAGTCTATGGGTTGCTGTTTTTTCCACTCTGTTGATTATATTCTTTGACACACCCATGGAGAAGATTTTAAAGGGCAGGTAGAAGTCAGCCAGTTTGGGCAGCCATGTGGTGAAGAGAAGGCGTTTCAGTAGAAAAAAATAGCCTGTGTGAACACACAGAGGAGAGAACCACAAAATGCAAGTAGTTGGGTCTTGCTAGTACACGTGGGAGGAGGTGGGGACAGCTGAGGCTGGAGGAACCACCTGACAGAGGGTGGTTCTAAGCCCTGGAAGTAGCTGGACTTTGTTCTAAGGTGGCGCTAGTGAAAGCGTGGTCTGAGGACTGTGGTCCAGCATCCCCACTAGGAGTTTGTTAAAAATGCAAATTCTGGGCTTGGCACGGTGGCTCACACCTATAATCCCAGCACTCTGGGAGGCTGAGGCGGGCAGATCACCTGAAGTCGGGAGTTCAAGACCAGCCTGACCAACATGGTGAAACCCCGTCTTAAAAAAAAAAAAAAAATGCAAATTCTGGCTGGGCTCCTGGCTCATGCCTGTAATCCCAGCACATGCCTGTAATCTCAGCACGTTGCGGGGCTGAGGCGGGAGGATTGCTTGAGGCTAGGAGTTTGAGACAACCCTGGGCAACATAGTGAAACGCCGTCTCAATAAAAAAGAATAATTTAAAAAATGCAGATTCATGGAGGCCCTCCAGATTTTCTTTTTGTGTCTTTTCTTTCTTTTTTTTTTTAAGAGACCGTTTCTTGCTCTGTCGCCCAGGCTGGAGTGCAGTAGTACGATCTTGGTTCACTGCAACCTCAGCCTCCTGGGTTCAAGTAATTCTCCTGCCTCAGCCTCCTGGGTAGCTGGGATTACAGGTGCGTGCTACCACGCCTGGCTAATTTTTGTATTTTTTTCAGTGTGGGGGGGGGGGAGGCGTGTCACCAGTTTGGTCAAGCTGGTCTCCAACTCCTGACCTCGTGATCCGCACACCTCGGCCTCCCAAATCGCTGGGATTACAGACGTGAGACACCGTGCCCGGCCAGGATCCGGGTTTTAACTAGCCCCTGGGATTATTCTGAGGTTCAGTGAAGTTTACGGGCAGTGAAGAAACCGCGGAGGAGTCGGCTAATGTTTTGGAAACATCCAGAGAGAGAAAGACGGCCCGGGCTGTTTTTCAGGCCGGGCACCCTAGGCTTGGCTGCGTCCCCCTCCTTTTCCAGCCGCCCCGTCCCCATCCGACCCCACCTGATTCTGGCCTCATCCCGACCCCTCGGGCCCGCCCTGCGCCCAGGTCTTCTCCCCGCGGCGGGGTTCGGGGTCGGGGACGCGCGGCTGCAGCTAGGCCCACGTTCCTCTTACTTCCCGCCATTGTCCTGGGTTCCTGTGGCCGAGTCTCCGCACCCGCCCCTGGCCGCCCCACGGCCCCGGGGAGTGATGACTCATTTCCTTTCCCCAGCTGACATCATCGTGCCCCCACCGTGGCCTGGCTCGGGTGGCTGCCTGCGCCCTCCCAGGCCCCCTCCCTGCCCCTCTCGGCGCGAGGGCGCAGGCGCGGCCTGGCGCGGCGCTTCTCCGCAGTCAGGGAGCGCCGGAGCCCGCCGCGCTCTCCCTGGTCTCCTGGGTCGTCCCCGCCACCGCCCGGGCCGGCGGGGAGGGAGGGACAGAGACTGGCCGCGGCCCCACTTCTCCCAGCCGCGGCCCCGCTCTCCCGCTGGGGGCCTGGGAGTCAGAGCTTTCACGGTCACGGATGGGGAAACTGAGTCCCGAGCCTTGACCAAGGCAGTACAACCCCCCCTGAGAAGTGGGGGACAGGAATTCAGGACGCTGGGCTCTAGGCCGGTGGTTTCCCACAGACCTGAGGTGTTAATCTACCCGCACCCCATGGTATGTATTTCCAGCACAAAATCTACAGGCAGTATTCCCCCGATTTCCATCATTTGTGGGCCCTGAAACGTGGTCGCTCCTGGAACTAGCAGGAGCCAGGGCCTGTTGGGCTCCACCTGGGAAGCACGTGCAGCCTGCAGTTATTGGGCGACGCTGCCCCCCCAACCCCAGCTGACCTGGCTGTGTCGGGAGGTGTCCCTCACCCTCGCATCCACCCCGGCTCCCCAGCACCCACGGCTGGTCCTCAGGACAGGACCCTGTCCCTTCTGCCTTTTCTGTCGGGTTTCAGGGAGGCAGGGCAACTCGCTCAGCCTGGAAATTTCGGATATTTCGTAAGACCTAGAGCTACCTAAGAGTGCGTTCCTTTAAGACGCATGGAAGAAGTCAAGCAAGGCCACACTGTGAGCCGGAGCTGAAATCATACCTGTCCTGCCTCAGGCCTGTCACCTCCCACAGGCTGCCCAGATAATGAATACAAAATGCATCACCCAATGTCTGACAACAGTATAAGCACTCAGTGAATGCTAGTAATTGTCGTTCGAAAGCTAGTTGCCTAACTTCTCAGGGCTTCAAGCTTCCTAATCTGTAAAATGGGCGCAGTAGTAGAATACACTATTGTGAGGATTCAATGAATTTATGAATGTAAGGTACTGACTGCAGTGGTGTCCAGGGAGCATGCAACAGTCCACCAGCACTTGGGCTCCACGAAAGCAGGGGAGTTCTGTTGTTCTCTGTTTTTTGTTTTGTTTTGTTTTGTTTAGACAGGGTCTTACTCTGTCGCCCAGTCTGGAGTGCAGTGGTGCAATCATGGCTCACTGCAGCCTTGATCTCCCTGGGCTCAAGAGAGCCTCCCATCTCAGCCTCCCAAGTAGCTGGCGCTACAGGCGTGTGCTATCATACCTGGCTAATTTTTATATTTTTTGTAGAGATGGAGTTTCACCATGTTGAAACCTGACCAGACTATGTCAGGCTGGTCTCAAACTCCTGGTCTCAAGTCATCCACTCACTTTGGCCTCCCAGAGTGTTGGGATTACAGGAGTGAGCCACCGTGCCTGGGCTGTGTTGTCTGTTTCTTCAACTGACAAATAAAATCTTATATATTTATGATATGCAACATGACACTTTGATATATGTATATACTATGTGTGTCATTGGAATGGCTAAGTCAAATTAATTAACATATGCATTACTCTGCATATGTGTGTGTGCATGCCTGCGTGTGTGTTGTTGTCTTTGTATACTGTTAGATCTTTAGCATCTACAACAGTATCTGGCACAAAGTAACCCAGTAGGTGGAAGGAAGAAACAAAGGAAGGGCCGGGCGCGGTGGCTCAAGCCTGTAATCCCAGCACTTTGGGAGGCCGAGGCGGGTGGATCACGAGGTCAAGAGATCGAGACCATCCTGGTCAACATGGTGAAACCCCGTCTCTACTAAAAATGCAAAAAATGAGCTGGGCATGGTGGTGCGTGCCTGTAATCCCAGCTACTCAGGAGGCTGAGGCAGGAGAATTGCCTGAACCCAGGAGGCAGAGGTTGCGGTGAGCCAAGATCGCGCCATTGCACTCCAGCCTGGGCAACATGAGTGAAACTCCGTCTCAAAAAAAAAAAAAAAACAAACAAAAAAAAAACAAAGGAAGGAAGGGAGGGAGGGAGGGAGAGAGGGAGGTGAACCTATTATTAGTGCCTCAGCTGATTTTCCTCTATAACTTAGGCCTGGCATAGGAGCCCTGGTAGACTACAGGGGAAGATGCCTGAGGGTCTGTTTGCACCAGGGCTAGAGGGCTTCTTGGGAAGCAGCCATCCTGAGGAAAGAGAGTTGAAGAGCATAACAGCGTTTCAAGGACAGGGCGAGGACAAAAGAGAGATTCAGGGTAGAGCCTCCTCAGTGTTCACAGGAGCACTGTGGAAAGCAGTGGATGATTTCAGGAACATTCCAGAACAACATCATCACAGTCCATCAGTGGTAGCTTCAGGACAACCTGGTGGCCTCACACCTGCTTGGGACACTGATAATTTGGTTGCTTTGGTTATTGGTTATGTTTTTATTTCGAAAATTTTATTTACTTATTTATTTTTTTGAGACGGAGTCTTGCTCTGTTGCCCAGGCTGGAGTGCAGTGGTATGGTCTTGGGTCACTGCAACCTCTGCTTCCTGGGTTCAACTGATTCTCCTGCCTCAGGCTCCCGACTAATTAGGATTACAGGGACCTGCCACCACGGCCAGCTGATTTTGTATTTTTAGTAGAGACAGGGTTTCACTATGTTAGCCAGGTTGATCCCAAACTCCTGGCCTCAAGCGATCCACCTGCCTCGGCCTCCCAAAGTGCTGGGATTACAGGCATGAGCCATCACACCTGGCCGGATTTTCGTTTTGTTTTTAAATTGGCATTTGCTGTGAGTGGTTCCGTCCTGGGAAGCATCCCTCTGAAGGCTGTGAGACACGTGCTGGGCATTCCCGGGGAAGGTCTGCAGGAACTGCTGGGACAGAGCCATAAAAGCCAGTTACTGTGAGGTGGGGTCTCCCTATGTTGCCCAGGCTGGTCTTAAACTCCAGGCCTCAAGCCATCCTCCTGCCTCAGCCTCCCACAGTGCTGGGATGGCTTCCTGTGGTTCCTCACCATGCCCTGCCCACTCCACCTTAGCACCGTTGCTGTTCCCTCCATTTAGAATCTCTCAGAATCATCCAAGACTTCCTCACTTTTTCAGGCTTTATCGCAAATGTCACCTATCCAGTGGGGCCCTCCCCACCCCACCCTATTGAACTCAGAAAGCCTCACACCTCCTGACCGCTTGTCTGCCTTCTTTGACTTGTTTCCTCGTCCACAGACCCCACCATTCCCTATTGCCTCACAACCAGCCAGATTCACATATTTGCTGTATATCTGGAACCCTGAGCAGGCTGCCTTTGCATTTCATAAGCGAGACTTGGAGAAGGTGACTCCTGGAGAAATCTCTTTAGCCTCCTGCTACCAGGATGGTTTTGGATTCCTCTCCAGCCAGCAGCTGGAACATAGTGGCCTGTGTCATCTAAAACCATGAGATCATCCCAGGTACCTTCTCTTTGCTTCTTGACTTGCCCCCTATTCTTCATACTCACCTCCTGAATAATGTCCACATAGCTATAAGATGAGGGGAGGGAGCCAGCTGGCTGTTCCCTCTGCCAGGAGCATCCTCCCTTTGCTGATCAGTACCTGCTTAAGGCCCCGACCCTGCATCACCTCCTCTGAGAAGCCTTCCCTGACTACTCCCCTGCCCTGCCCTGCCAGCCTGATCTGACCACATTGTTCCCAGGATGGATGCCTGTCAGGGCCCCCTTTCCTCTAGGTTGGACTGATTTGCTCTGGGTTGGCTTCCCCTGCCTGATCATGGGCTTCATGAGGGCAGGGGCTGTGAGTTACTTCTCTTTAAGTACCCAGGGCTTGGCTGATGTCACGCTCAATTAATGAATTCTGAAAGTTTAGATAAAAGAAAGAATGAATTGGCTGGACATGGTGGCTCACGTCTGTAATCCCAGCACTTTCGGAGGTTGAGCCCAAGAGTTCAAGACCAGCCTGGACAACATGATGAAACCCCATCTCTACAAAAAATATACAAATTAGTGGGGCATGGTGCTGTGCGCTTATAGTCCTGGCTACTCGGGAGGCTGAGGTGGGAGGATCAATTGAGTTCAGGAGGCTGAGACTTCTGTGAGCAGACACTACACCACTGCACTCCAGCCTGGGCGATAGAGTGAGACCCCATCTCAAAACACAAAACAAAAACAAAAAGAATAAATGAATAAAAGGAGGAAGGATGGAGAGAGGGGAGAAAGGATGGAGAGAGGGAAGGAAGGAAGAGACTCATTAATTAATTTGTTTCTCGCCTTCCACGCATTTGCCTGGCAGTGTCCTGTCACTTTAAGCGCCACCCTCAAGGCTGGGAGAGTGTCAACCCCCATAGAAGAGGAACCCTGGGCTCTGGCAGCCCTGCAGAGACTCATCTCCATCCCGCCCTTGAGCATAGTGTTACACCCAGTTTCTGCTAGTTCTGTTTGTTTTCGTTGCAAATTTTATGATTCAATATATGTGCCCCCAAAATAATCAAAATCAGAAGTTGACAGTGTGATGAATTTTCATTGTGAGCACATCCACATAAGCAGCACCCAAATTAAGAAAGAGAATGCAAATAGCTCCCGCCCTGTGCTGCCTTCAGGCACTGTGCTCCCCAAGGCTGACCCTTCTTCTTACCCTAGCAGGATTAATTTTCCTGCTTTGTATTTTATTTTATATTGCATTTTATTATTTTATTTTATTTTGAGACAGAGTCTTGCACTGTTGCCCAGGCTGGAGTGCAGTATCTTGGCTCACTGCAACCTCTGCCTCCTAGGTCTAAGCGATTCTCCTGCCTTGGCCTCCGGAGTGGCTAGGACTAACAGGCATATGCCACCATGCCTGGCTAATTTTTGTATTTTTAGTAGAGATGGGGTTTCACCATGGTGGCCAGTCTGGTGTTGAACTCCTAGCCTCAAGTGATCCACTTACCTTGGCCTCCCAAAGTGCCCAGCCTATTTTATTTTATATTTTGAGACAGCGTCTTGCTCCGTCACCCAGGCTAGGGTGCAGTGATATAATCATAGCTCACTGCAGCTTCGATTTCCTGGGCTCAAGCGATCCTCCCAGCTCAGACTACAGCCATGTGCCATGACGCCTGGCTGATTTTTTTGTCTTTTTGCAGAGACGGAGTCTGATTGTTTCCCAGGATGATCTTGAACTCTTGGGCTCAAGCAGTCCACCTGACTTGGCCTCCCAAAGTGCTGGGATTACAGGTATGAGCCATCGTGCCTGGCTGTATTTTATATAAATATAACGATACAATATATATTCTTTTGGGTCTAGCTTCTTCTGGTTAATGCTATGTGTGTGAGATTTATTCATATTGTGGTTTATTCATTCTCATTGCTCTATAATATATTCCATGGCATAAGGAAGCCACATTTTATTTATTCATTCTCCTGTTGATGGA